TATTTTGTACCGTTTGTTCCATGGGGAGTGCTCTGAGGAATTGTTCGAGATGATACCGGCATCTCGTTTTTACCATCGCACCGCCCGCCACCGGAGTAGAGTTCATCCATACTACCTTGAGCCACTGCGGTCATCCACAGTGCGTTTCCAGAGGTCTTTTTTGCCACGTACCATCCGGCTATGGAATGAGCTCCCCTCCACGGTGTTTCCCGAGCGCTATGACATGTCCTTCTTCAAACGAGGCTTGTGGAGAGTATTAAACGGTGGTACGCAGCGGCTCGGCTCTGCCCCTGGCATTGCTGAAGTCCATGGGCGACGGTAACCACTCACCATCAGGTGGGCCGTATGCTCGTCTGCCTACAGGAGCAATAAAAAAGTCGTTACAGTCAGAGCTATAACTGCCAATAATTGTACAATAGTTATATGAGGATAGTTGGAAAAAATAAATTATGAGCCACGCGATACGGAAAAGAAAAATTGAGGTTTGAGTGAATCGAGAGCAGAAGCTGAATTATACTTTGGAGGAACGCTAATTTTTTTTTTTTTTTTTTATAGAATGATAATTGCAAAGGTCAACATTAAAAATTATCATGCGTCTCTTTCGCACTAGTTGACTTTGAAAGCGATTGAAGAGTTCAGAAATAGTTTCATTCGTGCGCGTTATGTCAAACGGGGTGATCGACCCCGCGAATGTTCGCGAATGTCGGTAGTTTTGAATAATTTCTCGTCTTCTAGTTTCTTCGCTTGTACAAGAGTAAGCTCTTTCTGGATCGGACGGAGTTTTCGTTACGCGCTGTAAATAGAGCGACTGTCTTGATTCGTTTTTTTGTGAAAATATTTAAAATTTTCTGTTCGCTGCAAACAGATTTGGTATAAGAGAAAATTCATTGGCGAAATACTTCATTGAACGCATTAGCTTGATAGTAAGAAGATAGAGGCAGTGAAAAAAGTTTTTGATACTATTGACAGTTGTCATAATAAATTGGTCCAAACACCGGGTTTTTTTGTTGTTATTATTTTAATTTACCACACTGTCCCGTTCTATCAATATTCTCGTTTTCAAACTACCCACCTATTTTTTTTTTAATCACATTCACACGTACCCAGAAAAAATAACACTAAATTAATGTGTTTACAAGTTAATTTTGTTTGACTTCGCTTTAGCATCGTTCATTACATGGTCAGACCAGTGGCGATGGCTACTTGTGTGCCAGCCTAAGATCGAACCTTTAGAATTGTGTAGAATTGTTTAGAAGTGGCTTAACTAAAAATTTTAAGATAATTATAAATAGACATGCTTTAACAAAAACCGACTTCAAATAGAAAAAAAGATATTCCAAAACAAATGAATATACACTAAAAACAATAGTCATCGAAATCGGTTGGCGTGATATTGAGTTATTGAGTTATTCATCTATTTGTCGCGCGCGTACTTAATGCAAATTTAAGACTTATATGGTTTTCTCATGGATACCATTATCAGAACTGGACTAAATTGAAATGGGACCACACAGGAAGCGTCAGCTTTCTAATAAAAAAAGAATCATCAAAATCTATTCACCCAGTCAAAAGCTATGAGGTAACACACATTAAAAAAACATAGTCGAATTGAGAACCTCCTCTTTTTTTGAAATCGGTTAAAAATGAGTTTTATACTTACGACTTATAAACATGTTAGAAGAAAGATGTTAGAAAAGCTCAAAGTACAGTTTCCGTTTCTTTTAAATGAAGCGCATACCTTAAGCTCTAAGGTACGCGCTTTAAGGCTTAAAGTATTAAAATCAAAACTGAAAAATTACAATACTACAATTAAATGTTTTGGCGCTTACCAAAAAAAAAGCTACTTCAATTCTAAAATTGCTAATTGTATTTCGTTTATAGCAGTCAACGAATAATCTAAACTAGTGGTCCCACAGTAGTCGAAATTCGAATATGATTATCTCATTGAAATTATAAGTTTAAATATTATTATGGTTTTATTGTCAAACACTAATAGTGTTATACACTAATAGTTTACACTATTAAGTATTATACTTCTTTATAATCACCGATTTCGCCAAAACTACACTATAGATAAATAATATTAAAGACAAACAATAGTAATTTATTCTCAATTTGACCACAGACTATATACAATAAGAAAATTTTGACAATTGACAATAAACAAAGATTAAATTTATATGTACATATGTTGTGTCAAATACATGCTAGGTAGTGTGTGTAATATTTTTATAATTGATTTAATGTATTTTTTTATGAATAATTAAAAAAAATATTAGCATTCTGCACTCCTTCTCTATATTCTCTATAAGTGTGGGAAATATCATACTCGTCCGTCCGCGCAATTTTCGTAAAAAGGGCTACAAAGTTTTTGCTTCACGTATTAAATATATAGATTTGCTGTCCATTACTCTGTATTTTAATAAAGAACCGCATTAGCGAGATATAAACTAAAAAATGAAAGCCAATGAATTTTTTCTTAAAGAATCGTTAAAATTGCTATGACGCATTTGCGCAATGCATCTGTGTGTGCTAAGTGCGAGTTTTTTAAAGTTCTCGATAGCGTAAAAGTTAACTCAAATTTGTATGCAGTTGGAACAGCGCCCCTAGCGGCAAACGTAGGCAAACGTTCAGACTCGATACAAATTGAGTTAACTTTTACGCTGTCGAGAACGTTAAGAAACTCACACTGGGAGCACTGCAAGTGGTTATCGTGATTTCGACCTTATGTCACCCGGATAAATGCTTTTTAAACATTTTATCAGTAACGTAAAATACGTGTTATCCGGATCCAGTTTGTATATCGAGAGTTGAAAGGTTATCTATTTTAGTGACATTTTTGAAATTTTACAGGAGAGCCATTTGAAGTTTAAAATTAGGATAAAATATCATTTAAAAAAACTTCACATATTTGAATGTATTAAACTTAATTGAAGTTCAATTAAATACATTAAACTGTTGATACTAATCTATATATATAAAAATGAATTGCTGTTCGTTAGTCTCGCTAAAACTCGAGAACGTCTAGACCGATTTGGCTAATTTTGGTCTTGAATTATTCGTGGAAGTCCAGAGAAGGTTTAAAAGGTAGATAAATATGAAAATGCTCGGAATGAAATAAAAATAACAATTTTGTTTTTCCTTTGACGTGTCCCCCGTCGGACGGATTCCTTTTGTTTGTTTTAAGTTTATTTTATACAAAAGTTTAGGTTTTTTATTTGTCGATTGAAGCACAACGAAGTATGCCGGCTCAGCTAGTACTAAATAAAACGCACCTTTAATTACAAAGATAAATGTTGCGTTTTAAGCGGAATGTCGCTTATACCAAATATCCTTTTAACCCTCGATAAATATGTATATAATAATATAGCAAATCACGAATGCTCAGCGTCTATACCTCTGTTATTTAATTACCAAAAAAAATAAAAAAAATCGCGCTTCTAATATAGAGACAATAAGTAATAATAAAAAGAAAATAATAAGAAAAAGTAATTTCTAGTCAATTTCTTAACGATCTTTAAAAATAAACTTTTGTTTACCCGAGACTTAAAAAATCGAACGTAAATTTCCATAATTTCACACAGGACTTAAGATAAAAGCTCTTTGCAAGTTTTAGATCTGGCTATATAAGTCGAACGAATATAATATATATGCGAATTTTTGGTGATTAAAATCTAGCGGTAGTGACGTTTTCTTTGAGTTATTTTTGTTTCTCTTACTGACTTCATCCCACTGGATCAATTAGAGTCAGTGTCGTATACAGGGTGTCTCAGAAAGAATAGATAATCCTGAAACACCTCATAGTAGAGCAATTGGGGACTCGAAAAAAAAAATTGTTCTTAGGTAGTAGCCATATTAAAAATAAAGAAAAAACACCAAATTTCATGATTAAAATTTAAGTTCAGATTAACTTTTATATAAAACTAGCGACCCGCCCTCGTTTCGCTTCGGAAACTGTAATTTATTATTGATTTCTTCACTATTTAATGAATGTTATTATACATATAAACCTTCCTCTTCAATCACTCTATCAAAAAAAACCGCATCAAAATCCGTTGCGTAGTTTTAAAGATTTAAGCATACATAGGGACAGACAGATATAGGGACAGAGAAAGCGACTTTGTTTTATACTATGTAGTGATTACACTAGCTACTCATACGATTTCCAGCATATTCCTTAGTACATAGTCCATGTACAATATTATAACACCAAAAAGCCTATGGATTTCATTTATTTGTAGCTGTTGTATATTCCAGAAACGCACTGCAGTATAGAAAATATTACCTTTTTTTTTTTAAATACGTAATTTGGGTACTGGTTTAGAGTTGAGATGTTTCAGGATTATTTAAATTACCTAATTTGGGTACCACTTGAGAATTGAGGTGTTTCAGGGTTATTTAAGTTACGTAATTTGGGTACCACCTGAGAATTGAGGTGTTTCAGGATTACCTATTCTTTCCGGGACACCCTGTATATATATACATAAAGCATTCGGTTCGTGTGTAATTTCAAATATCTAATTGTTTTTTTTTTGTGTGTGTGTGTAATACCGAGAGATGAAACGCTATATTCTTTAAGCGTCATTCCGCTAAATACGCGACATTTATCTTTTTAATTAAAGGTCCGCTTTATTTGGTATTAGAATCAACAATTCGATATTTTCAATCGCGATCTTCAATTATATTCAAAAATAGCTGAACAAGTTATTTTCTTATGATAATTTTCCCAAATTTTAAACTTTAAATGGCTCTTGCAAATAGCTTTTCACCTTTCGATATAAATCAATCTATTTGAAGAATCTAACTATGATTTTCCTTAACGTAGTTCTGTTCTAAAAATCGAAGCCCAGAAAAAAAACTAATTAAAACTTACAAATCCATCCAAATATTAATGATCCAAATGACAATTCTGAAGTCGGTCATTAGTCTGACCCCTTATGCGGGTCGGTGAAACCTCTCAATCGCTTCATAGGGCCTTATATTTTTAATTGAATTCACAGGCCGATGTTTATTTACTACCGAAGAAAATGGATGAATACGTCGCCAGCCTCCACCTGCCGACCTTCGACGCTCATCTCACCGAGTTAACGGACGAGCAAGCGAAATACCTCGGTCTCAACAAAGTCGGCCCGTTCAAACCTAATTACTATAGATACTAATAGTTAGTGTGGTTTTTTGTTTGTATACGCGGGTAGCGTTTACGATTTCGATGGCGATTTGCTCGTTTGAGCTCTGAAGCTTGTATACAGGGCGATTTGCTCCGAAGCCTTTATACAGGGTGTGTTTTATTTGACACGAAGGCCGGATATTCGTATATAGAGATCGAGTCTTCAGCGTGGTATCTCAAGGTGGGTTCATTATCGTTTCTACATTTATAAGTCCCCTAAATACCCACTTAAAACTATACTGGTGGTAGGACCTCTTGTGAGTCCGCGCGGGTAGGTATCACCGCCCTGCCTATTTCCGCCGTGAAGCAGTAATTCGTTTCGGTTTTGAAGTGCGGGGCAGCCGTTGTAACTATACTTGAGATCTTAGAACTTATATCTCGAGGTGGGTGGCGCATTTACGTCGTAGATGTCTATGGGCTCCAGTAACCGCTTAACACCAGGTGGACTGTGAGATCGTCCACCCATCTAACCAATAAAAAAAAACTTTTACGCTATCGAGAACGTTAAAATACTCGCACTAAGCGCACTGGACGTAAAGGTGTCTCGCACTTAATCATTTATGCCCATTTTAATAGAGCTAATCATCTAAAAAAGGCTCTCATCTACCCTCTGCCAATAATTATGAGCTTCTTCGGACACCTTCGGTCTCCCAGACCTGAAGCACGCATAGAAGGCAAACGCGCCGTGGGTATCACACCAGCCTGATGGTCAGATCTGGTTAAGGAAGTGGCTGGTGGTAGTCTGTACTATACAGTTCATGTCACCCATACCAAATACTGTGGAGGAGGGCTTTTTCTTATTTATTGCTCAGATGGGTGGACGAGCTCACAGCCCACCCGGTGCTAAGCGGTTACCCGAGCCCATGGACATCTACAACGTAAATACGCTACCCACCTTGAGATATAAGTTCTAAGGTCTCAGTATAGTTACAACGGCTGCCCCACCCTTCAAACGCGTTACTGCTTCACGGCAGAAATAGGCAGGGCGGTGGTACCTACCCGTGCGTACTCACAAAACCTCCTACCATCAGTAATTACGCAACTTATAATTTTGCGGGTTTCATTTTTATTACACGATGTGTTATTCCTTGACCGTGGAAGTCAATCGTGAACATTTGTTGAGTACGTAAATTCATTAGAAAAATTGGTACCCGCCTGCGGGATTCGAACGCCGGTGCATCGCTATATACGAACGCACCGGACGTCTTATCCTTTAAGCCACGACGACTTTAAACGTCACGCGCTGTCGCGATCCTCAGCAGCGAGGGAAAGAGAGAGAGAGAATCACTTATGTGTCGTCATTCGGGTTTGCCTGATTACTGTGAATAAGCACGCATCGAAATCGTCAACGAACCCATTGTATCGTATTACTGATAATGTATTTTTGTTGTACGGTGATGACGATGATAATATTATTATATATTATTTTGAAATTCTTTATTCGAATTCACAGAATAAGGACGTTTTATATATGAGTCGACTATTATCAAAGCCGGCAATGTGACTTTTGGACAATTATTGGTAAATCAGAAAAACGAATTATTGACTTTGTATTCCATTGGCAGTCACAAAACTCTTCTGAACGACATCTTAGATAAATAACAGGTTAAATATTAACCTTTATTTAATGCAGGTTTTCAACCGTATTCTTTGAAGGAGACGATTATATTCAAATCAATCTGTATTGACATATCAATAACATTTTTTTGTCCAAATGCACAGATTGCCACCTTTGATAATAGACGACTCATATATCATAATCGACCGACATATTGTATGTTTGAATTACAAAAAAAAAAACATGAGATTAATTTAATAACATTAATTACCCATGGTGAAATTTGTACTATATCTACTATGTATTATATATTATTGTTTTTTATATTTTCTGCCGCGGGGGGAAGTGAGGAAGCTTTTACAGGCTCTCTTGTGAGTCCGCACGGGTAGGTGCCACCGCCCTGCCTATTTCTGCCGTGAAGCAGTAATGCGTTTCGGTTCGAAGGGTGGGCCGTTGCACTGTGCTGTTAAAACTGAGACCTTAGAACTCATGTCTCAAGGTAGGTGGCGGCATTTGCGTTGTAGATGTCTACGGGCTCCGGTAACCACTTAACACCAGGTGGGCTGTGAGCTCATCCACCCATCTAAGCAATAATAAAAACATCGTTACGTATGTTTGAATTTTTTAATTTAAGATCACGAGGGCACCTTTCTAGTTTAGATTTGTTAATGGTTCTAATACATTATCGCAAAAAGATACACCAAAGAAAGTTCCTATAAAGAATTTCAAATCTACGAAAAAAAAATAGTGAATTAAAAAAAAACGCAAATAAAAAAAATAAGCTTAAGGCTTTACGAACGGATCAGTCTAAAGTTTAAGATTAATGACGTGCTAGTGATATTGTTGTTATTTCGTTTAAAGAATTACTAGGACACACGCATTGGCTGTGCGGAGTTAGATCCGTTTGCGTCAATAAGAAAGTAAAAAAAAAGAGTCACTTAGATGATTTATTAATATGGAGGGTAGAAATAAAAAGCACCATAGGTGTCCGTATGGGAACTTTTTGGCGGGAACGCGAGGAGTGAAGTTGTGTGATTTGTTTTATTTTGTCTATTTAGTGTTTCTTCGGGTTTAAATGTGTAATAACGGTGGTTTATTAACCGTTTAATATCTGTGAAAGTGCACAAATGTGGGAAAATGAAACAAAGCCGCTGGACGTAACTTCTCAAGATCCCCCAAAAAGTCCACTGAAAAAATCTTTTACTGAGCTTATATTTCATCTCATATCATCTCATTTAATTTCATCCCAGTTGATTAATGTCTCAAATTAATCATCTTCATTTCATTTCACTCCATATTATCATTTTTCATAAAAATATGAATATACATTAAAATAAGACATGACTTAAAGGTCTCAGTTACCAGGTCATAAAATCCCTTAAAAAAAGTGTCCGTATGGCTTACAAAGCAAGTTACTATTGGAAACGATATCAAACGATATGAATATAGCAGTTTTATACAGAGCTAAATGTGCTGGGTTGAAAAATGTAATATTTTTCATGACTTGTGTTGTTAAAACAATATGTAGTATTTAAAATATCAACTATGTATTTGTTTTCATGACTATTTACGTAGGAAGTGTGTCTCTACCTTCTTAATGAAGTAAATTAAAAATGCCATAAATGGCGGTATTTCTAAATCCTTCCACTTGCTACAGTGGCGCCACCTTAATTGGCCCCGAGATAGTGCTTCTTACTTATACCCTCCATATTTAATAATTTTTGGCACTTTTTTGACAAGCTCCAAGTCGCCATTTTGATTTTCAAATAGACAATGATGAGATTTTACGTCTAATGCAATAAGAATTGGATTGAATTGCATGCATTTAGATTCACAGACCCACTGCGACCTCATGTCTGAAGGCGGGACGGTATTCTACAATCTATGTAATTAACCCTTTTAGTGCTTTAGAGCTTAATTTCACAGATTTATTTTGCAGTAATTGCTAAAGGGTTTTTTGTTTTGGTATTCCGACGCTCTGCACTTTATACGCATCAACAGAGAGTCGATATATCGACGGTTTGCGCTGAACTAATCCCACAATCAAACTGTGCATAAGTGGGTATTCCGACGCTCCGCACTTTATACGCATTATACAGAGTCGATATATCGACGCTCCGTGCTCAAAGGGTTAATGAAGTAATCGTTCAAGACTTAAACACAAAAACATTTCAATCCTATTCTTATTTCGAGGTTTTTATTTTGGCTGTGCTTGACGCGGATATGGCACAGTGGTATCGCGCGCGCTAACCTTATCAAGGAGTGGAAGAATATTTGATTTAAGCGAAATTTTTGTAATTTTACGAGAGAGACATTTAAAGTTTAAAATTTGATAAAAAAAATTATAACAAAAACAATCGGTTGTCTGTAAAGTCGGTTTACTGACGATAGTTGAACGTGACAACGTCATAAGAAAATACTGATGGATGGTTACATTTTTCAATTATCGCAATTATCGTTGCTATAAACAATTGACACCACATTCACTTTTCACTGAACTTCATACTTGACGAAAACATGTAAATGTATTATTGTATAGCAGCTGTCCACGTGGATGCATCGCTCACTCAAGTAGGAGAAAGACAGATGTTGGACGCTGCCGAACGCGGAGGCCGATTGTGCCTTTGTCGCTCGTTGCGCGCTCTCGCTTGCACTTCAAGCCTTAAATGGAACGCCTCAGAGAGAGGTAACGCCGCATGAGTCATGCTTTTTCGTGCGTGCAGCCGGCTCCATCGACTTATAAGACGTTGTCACGTCAAAAATACTTCTTTAGCTATTCGAATGGAGTAAACTTAATTGAAGTTCAATTAAAAACATTGAATTGTTAATGCTAACATCAAATAAAATGCACCTTTAATTATTACAAAGATAAATATCGCTTAGATCAAATAGCCTTTTATCTCTCGTTATACTCTCGGGTCGTTGCTTCATGCCTGGATACTTAGCACTGTTATTGTCAGTGTCAATAATGCTGTATTATTTCGTAAGAATCGCTCGCTGCCATTACGCATTGATGAAGGATGAGTCCTTCAATGCGTAACTATTTAGTATCGCCTCACAGTGGACGGTGTTAAGCGAGATAGTCGTATTTAATTTTATAATTTTTGTTTTTTTGTCTTTAAACACAATAAATTTTTTATTTCTGATTAAGTTTTATATAATGTTTATTTTAAAATATGTTGACGGTTTTTTTTTGTTTTTTTTTTTTATTTTATAATGTGTTAACTGTTTTTTTTTTGGAACGGAGTTTCTTTTCGCATGTGTTGTATGCGGGTTGAGAGTCTAGACCCCAAAAAAGCGACATTCGATGAGAAATTACATAAAAAATCGACACCTTTTTGTGGTGATTTTTGAGGCGGTTCCCGATCACCTAGGAAATTGAAACTTCCATTACGATCGAGCTATCAAATCAATTTTGAAAATATATTTGATGATAAATAATAAGATAGTCATGTTTTTTTTTATCCATTATTATTTAAGAAATATTTATTCAAGAAATTTATCTGCATTGCTAGCTTTACTTGTTTTTTTTTTGTTTTAAATAATATAATATGATCTTTTTTTTAATATTTAATGAAATAAAATTTTCCAGCTTACCTACGTTTTGTGTAACATAAATACGAAAACAAAATTGAAAGCCCTTATTATCTCTATTTAAATTAATGTTTTAAACAATTTAATTTAAGATTGAAAATTATTTCTCTTCATTGAATGACAGGTGAGTGAGCTTGTATAAGAAAAATCTTTTTAAAACTTAGAGCTT